GTCTTTCGCTCGATCCAATTCCGCCTTCGTTTTGATCAGCTCCTTCATCTCCGACCTCACCGTCCGATCTCTTCGGCGGTAACGTTCGTCGCCTTCTTCCATAGCTTCCGTGCGGCAGAGTTATGGATGAAGGAGATAGTTTCTTTCTTCTATATTGAATACAATTGTGTCACTTTGGATTGTCCAGGGAGGGAGGGAGGCTTCAGCCGATTGAAATGCTTATTTATTTATTTATTTAATGAATGAATGAATTCCCTTGTTCATCCCGCTCTTTTTCGGGAAAGCTGTCGTATTCCACTGTGGTGTTCATTGGCTGACTCCTTCTTCCTTCCCCTCTGTTCAAGTACTCTGTCGATTCTGCCATTAGCCGATTTGGAGAGAGCAGACGTTTTCAGAGTAACAAAACAACAAAAACAAGTAGTCTGTGTCTCCATCTGTAAAAAGCAGCAGTTCATGGGAATGTCTGCTGCACATTTGGTGATCACCTGATGAATCAACATCCATAGGCAATGCATTTTTTTTCTCTTACATGGTCAATTAAGGGATCCTTTGCCTCCCATCACAAATGTTCATATGCATCTTAGGTTTGCATGATTGGCCACGCTCTTCTTGTGCCGGGTAAATGACCAAACAACTAATCTAATTTCGTCCACAACGTGCCGTATTCTATCATGAAATATTTTTCCTACAGATGCTACTAATCTGAAGGTGGGGATGGGTAATTACCCAAAAACGATTACATAACTTCAGTATTTGAACAAAATGATCACAAAAGGTTTATTATTTTTCAAAATGATGCAACGACTTTGAACATTTTTGTAACAAATGATCACGTTTATCTATTTTCATCCAAAATTTGTCCGACTTGAAATGTTAAATTAATAAAAACTAGAAATCGTGTCAAGCTTCACCCAAGTCCTCGAACCACTCGACCGTATTCATACAAATTATACTTATATCCGACTTGAAAATATGTAACACGCATCATTTTGAAAACTAATAAATATTTAGTAATGATCACAAAACGTTTATTTTTTATATCTTTACGAGAGAGACATAGCAAATTAGAGGAAATTTTTATGGAATGATGAATTCAAACTTGTAACCTATGGTTGAGTTTTTCATTATGGGTCGAGTATAAATTATACAACGAGTAAGAAAGTTGTTAAAAAGCATGTGATTTGATCAATCCAATTCCCTTACCTTGGGTTGAGTTCTTTTTGTCTCATTAAAATTATTTGGCTATCATATATTTACTAGATTTGACCCGACCTGTTGGCCGGATTAAGGGGTGGACAACGGAAAACGGGTATTTGGGTATACCCGTACCCGTCCCGTTTTTTAAGGGTTACGGGTACCCATATTACCCGTAATATTATAAACGGAGGGGACTTGGGATTGAACATTCCTAATATGGGTACCCGCGGGTTACCCGCAAATACCCGTTGGGTAATGTGGGTACCCGTTATACCCATTTACCAGAAATAGCCCACAGCCCAACGCCCCAACCATATTCACTAATTCAGAAATGTGGCATTGGGCCTTGGCCATTTCGGCACTTACCCTTAGTTGACCCTTACCCTGCATATTCCCTTTCGGCTTTCACTTTCACCTCCATGGAGTAATGCTGTTTACACTGGAGGTTGTCTTTGGTTAAATTTCGTTTGCTTGCTTGCTTTTTTTGTTTACTTTTTACCTTCTTTTGGGTTTGTTGTAATTGATAAGGAGGGTTCAATTGTTTTGGACCTCGTTGCTTTTGTATTGTTGTGGTCAATATTTCAGTCCTTATAAATAAATTGTGATCTATTCACTGTGGATGGTATCATAGCAAAAGGGAGAACCGCAGCATTTGGTCGGCATTGTCCCTTCCTCTGTTATTAATTATTGTTCCTTCCTCTGTTATTAATGATTCCAGCAGCCTGCAGCCAGTGGCGTACCCACGTGTGTTTAGGGGTGTCCCGGGACACCCCTAAATTTTGGGAAAACAATTATACAACCCCGGTGGAAATTTACGAATGGACAAAAAAATTATAATTGATAATTGGTGACACCCTTAAAATTTGAAAAAATGATTATCCTACTCCCATCTTTTAGTTTGCGTATGAGAATATAAGTGGTAGTTTGGGTAATTCAAACATAGGACACTATTATTATTAATAAACATAATTTCTACTAGGCTACAACCCATATGTTGTTCGATTTAAACACTGTGTAATAGTAAAATGTCATTACCTATTTCTAATTATTTTCAAAACTTAACAATTAAATAAATTTCAAGCTATCCTTAATTTGTATTGATTTTATGGTTGTACGACAAGTGTTGAAAGAGTCTTTTCAACTTTGGATTACATTAAGAACAAGTTTAGAAATTGAATATGTGATCAGTTCGCGAATGATTGTCTAGTATGATAGAGACAATTTTTTTTAGCACTGTAGACACCAAGTGTATTCTACCATTATTTCCGAATACGAAAACACATCGTGGATTTTTTTAAGTTGTATGAGTAAGGTATTTTCTTATTTAAGTATTATTTATTATTTATTTAATTTATTTTTTGAAAGATGACACCCCTATATAAAATTTCTGGGTCCGCCACTGCCTGCAGCAGAAGGGAGAACAGCAGCAGTTCCAGCACTCCAGTAGCTTGTAGAAGGACGAGTAGCACATCAGCTTGTAGAAGGAATAGTAGCAGAAACTTTTTATTTTATTTTTGGTTGTGTTGAATGAAACTTCTTATTTGATAATTTGGTGCTTAGAATGATTTATTTCTATGCGTTGTGATTGTTCATGATTTGTGCCTTGTGATTGTTAAGCAAGTACAAGTTATTAAGTTAAGTTTAAACTTTTGTTAAAATTTGAGTGGTTTAAACTTTGGGTATTTATGGGTAGTATGGGTACCCGTTATCCGTCCCGTACGGGTAATGGGTACCCGTTTCCCATATGGGTTTGGGATATGGGAAGGACTTTGGCCTCCAAATGGGACTGGGTACCCATTTAAAACGGGACGGGTATCCCGTCCCGTCCCGTTGCCCACCCCTAGTTTAATTTACTAATTAATGGAATGGAGGAGAGAGCTAGAGCAGAAAACATATATTTGGGTCGAACTCACAATTTGAATCTATTTGAGTCCATATAATTATACCTATAAAGAAATATCGACCATCTAGCTATTCGCATTAAACCAATTCACACCTTCATTATCGGTGTTTCCACATTTATGTTTGTTATACAAAAAAAAAATTGCAAAACTTACATTAGAGTTGATATTCATTTTTTTAGCCAATGTAATAGGTCTAATTTAGACTCAAACTAAATAGTCGTTTATTGGTATGACCTTCAAGTGATATTACCAAATATGATTTGACTGGTAATAAATTGGGTTTGGGAAGGATGTTTTTTTGCAATTCATAGTGGAGGGAATTTTTTTAGGTCGCGTTTGGCATTAGTTGTTCATTCACCACCACATCCAACGCTAAGGTATCACTTTCCCATAAGACTTTTTAATTTACTGCGAAATGAGATGATCTAAATTCCATCAGTTTTGGGTTTCAAAATACTAAATTTGCAATCACTTATTTACATAGTTTCCATCTCCTACTTTTAAATGTGTGAGATTTAAAGTTTCTTTATCTAAATTTCATAGCAAAATATGAACTTGTAAACATTGGCAAAGGTGAGTGAACAACTAAAGATCACAATGATTGTAGTTTTAGTGGTATGGAGGTATATTTGAGCTCATAAATCAATAAATTGCATCTCATCTTTCATTGAAAACTAAGCGAAATTTAGGGAGTTATTCATTGTTATATAAAAGTATTTGAGCAAAATATGTTTGGAAATTGAAATTGCATGCATTAGTGAATAATAGAGTCCGTAATATATATGGGGATGACTGGTGTACGTCAGGCGTATAGTATATGTCAGGTGATTTAGCCGTTAGATGTAGTTAGATGAGCTACGGCCGATCTCAACGGTCAATTTTTGTTTTTCATTAAATCAAACTTCGGGTTAGGGTTTAGAAAATCGGTGCCTGGGGTTTATCCATTAGAGTTTAGGGTATAGTATCATACCCCAAACTCGATTTAATTCATGGTCTAGATAGAGATATCTCACTAGTAGTACCTGACGTATAGTATACGTCTGACGTACGCCAGTATATATATATATATATACCCCGGGTGAAATCCAGGGTATCGTATACCTTGAGTATGAAAACTCTGTCTAGACCTCGAATTAACAGGATTTTTGGACCTGATACTATACCCTAGTGAACCCTAGGTCCTAGTTATCTAAATCATAAACTATAAACTCTAAGATGTTGCATTCATTTTTTGCCTATATTTGGGCGAATCATAACCGTCGATTATTGTTTCTAATTAAATTGATCTTGTGGTATAAGATTTAGAGAATTAAGGCCTAGATTGTGATCTTTAAGGGTTAGATTATAGTATCATGTCCGAAAATTCAATTGATTCATTGTCTATATAGCATTTTCATACTCAAGTTATGCAGTACCCTAGATTTCTCGGATGGGGCATTTGCAGGGAAGTATTCTCATTTTCTCTCTATCTGAGTCAGTATCGTGTCTTTTTGCTCATCGGAGTTTTCGTAGAGCTACCCATCTAGCGACAAAAAAGTCCCTTTCATCGTGAGTTCAATTGCATATGGACTATCGTTCTTTATTTTTGTCTGTCTTTTGTATTTGTTGTCCGGCCATATCCTTGTGCTTATGTTGGTTAAAAAAATTTCATCTATACAAGAAAAATCCATATTCGTTAATGTGGCTTAGAGCCCACAGCTGCATGTGTATCCAGGCCCCTAACAATGAGCTCCTTACTCTGGTAGGCCCAATAGTGTTTTACATTGCAGGCCCAAATTTTAAAAATACGATAGCAAACAAAACCAATAATCCACGTCTGATTATACCAGAAAAGGGAACAGAGAAGAGATGAAATGAGCGAATTTATGCCCGGATGACCACACTGGGCACTTGGCGCACTATAGAACCGCCGCGCCAGCAGCAGCAGTCCATTGCGCTCCATCGCCGCCCAAAACTCACCGTTGCCGGAGGTCTCGTTAGTCTCAGTCAGCCTCTAGTATCTGTTCGCTGTCAAGTCCGATCCGATCGGCGACCGGTTCACTATCAATGACGGACTCCAATTCCATTCCCAGGTCCAGTATCGTATTATTCCTTCTTCACCTCTCTTCGCCATCTTTCGCTTTGAATTTTAATCGAACCTCGGTGGATTTCATTTTTTTTTAATAATGGCAGCTCCGCTCATCCGGCTTATACGGAGATCGTCGTCGTTCGTCACGGCGAAACGGAGTGGAATGCTGATAGAAGGATTCAGGTTAGCTTTCTCCCACTCGTGTGTAGTGGATTAGTCTGGCTTAGGGATAGTCATCCGGCTCATTTTGGAAATGTTCCATCCATACGACCCCTTAGGCACTTTAGCGCTAGTTGTTGGGCTTCTGTGAAAGTTTCATACTGTTCGATGTCCAGAATAACCCAGCTTAGTTTGATTGCATAGAGCTAAGTTTGATATGCTTCTTGCTAACCAGCTGCATTTCCTTTTAACCAACACACCATTTCCTTTGCTCCCTCTGTTGTCTTTTTCAATTGGTTGCCCTCGTCCTTGGTATCTTTTGGGGGACCTAATGTAGCCTTACGCCTGCTACTTGCCACAGGGACATGTCGACATTGACCTAAATGAAGTTGGGAGACAACAAGCGGCTTTGGTAAATCCTGTGTCCTAGTCTATTGCTTATTTTTGGTGCTTATGACAGGCATATTAATACCCACTTGATGAATGGACAGTTTTTCTGTTTGTTGTTCAAGGTGGCTGATCGACTATCCAAAGAACCTGAGATTTCTGCTGTATATTCTTCCGACTTGAAACGAGCCTTTGACACGGCACAAGCAATTGCTGATAGATGTGGTGGTATTGAGGTATGAGCGCTGCTGCAGGTTTCTGCAACTTGTGCTTCTTAGGCAACAATCAGAAGTATCTATAATACTTGGTTTGCTTTTTTTGACTAGTGACATTGATCTGAGCTGAAAAAATTATCTCTACTCCTTTTTCGTTGTCCGCGCTTGATATCAAGTGTTGTCATAGTCGTAACTTTCAACATTCTGTTATGTGTGATTCTGTGTTGGTTTCTATACATTTTTTCATCTGGTACAATAGTTTTTTTTTCTGATTCCCTAAAGCTTCCAGGTCATCAAGGAACCAGGGATACAGGAAAGACATTTAGGGGGATCTTCAAGGACTTTCATTAAGTGAAGCTGCCAAAGTTTCTCAAGAAGCATATGAGGCATTTTTATCCCACAAAACCAGCCAAGAAATCCCTGTATGCTATATTTCCATTACTATTTTAAGAGTTTTTGATTCCTTTGCTGGACAGTTGTAAATTGCAATGTCCTTTAGGCTGAATCTGCCTAAGTTCTCAGTTTTATGGTTCAAGTTTGAAACTATCACATTGGCTTGTGTAGTTAGGTTAATTGCATAGAATTCTGAACTAGTCCTAAGGCTGCCTGTCTTGTAGTGTGAATTACGACAGTTTGGCTAGTAGAATTTCTTTGTGTTAACAGTAACACATAATCCTGTGATTATAAGACAAGTAGAATCTTGGAGTTGACTAGTATATAAAGCATGCGAGACACAGTTTTAATAAATTATATCTGCGCTAATAATCTGCAGTGATGCTGTTTCCTGCATGCACAGGGTGGTGGTGAGAGTCTTGATAAATTATATGAGCGTTCCGCATGTTCTTTTCAAAGAATTGCAGCGAAACATCGAGGTAAACTGTCTATCATTACTTCCTCAGTTCCTGATGTATCAGTTGACACTTAAATTTTTAGCACAAGGACCTACAAAACCCAACATAGAGAGCTCGAGCTGAGTACCTGCATACTATTACATTTGTGGATATTAGTCATGTGGCCTACAAGAAGTAACACACAGAATTAGTACTTTTGAGTAGTCTATTATTCCCTGTTAATCTCCTAGCCCTCGGAGGAAACCTGTACCATCTACTTTAATGATCTTATCCAGGTATCGCTTTAATGTTGCTAACCATGTTTAACTTGCAGGTGAGCGAGTGGTCGTGGTGAGTCACGGAGGCACCATCAGATCACTACACAAGCGAGCTTGCCCTAACGGGAGGCCTGCAAAGACACTGAATACTTCTGTGCACATCTTTCGCATATCCGATGGAGACGAGTGGACCATAGAATCTTGGGGTGATGTTAGCCATCTCAACCAAACGGGATTCCTGGAGTCTGGTTTTGGTGGTGACAGAACCTCTGGTTAGCTGCACTTAGAACCAACCCCTCCTCCTACCAAGGAAGTAAACTCGTCACAACGGGCTCCTTTTTTTTTATTTTTGTTGCTTCATACTACAACGGACAGCAACCCAATGATGTGATGAAAGAGATTTTACACTTGTACCGATATTTATCGTTGTTTGATGGATCGTAGCTGGCTGATATCTTGTAGTGGTATCGGCAACTGCAAGTCATCGACTTTTTAAGCTGTATTTTAGCACCTCAAAGCTTTTCACTTTCGAGACTCCATTGGACGGGAAGTTGACACTACGAAGCAATGGGCAATGGCAAAACCTGAGGTAAGGTGAAGGGTAATTATGTATTTTTAGCCTAGAATACATCGAGTTTGTATATGTGAATGGAAGAATACGTGTAACGTCGCAGTAGTATTTAGTTTGGAGGGATTATAATGGCGGGTCTGCAAAAATTGCAGACATTGTTGAATTTTTTTTTTTCAAGTAACTCCAAAGATTTCTGGAATTCATGATATCACATGTAGTTTGGAATTGCATGGTGGGCCGAAATGTATGGTAAATTCATACCAACAATGAAACGTCAGAAACCATGTATACTCGTGATCACAAAGAACAATTCATGGGTTACTAGTCAACTCTAAGACAACTAACCCATTATAATTCACCCTAGTTGATTTTGTAACCATTTTTGGTAGTGTATAAGCCGTATGAATATGATTGACCTAATCATTCTTGAAGTTGATGATTTAAGTATTCGAATTCCACGATCAAGTTGATGATTGAAGTTGCTTGTTATGCACATCATGGAAATATTCCAATCGCTATATATAATATTAATTGTAGGCAACACACAAAACTAACACACATGTTATGAGTCAAATTAAAATTGGATAATTTTACTTTTGGACAGACCCATACCCCAAATTTTAGTTTGGGCCGAACTTGGACTCATGCATTGAAGACACAAAAGAAGATTGAATACTCAATTCTAATGTAGTTGTCTGCCTTATTCATTGTTATGAAATAAACATAAAGGTGGCAACATCAACATTAAAGGTGTAGTTCGATTGAACATAGTTAATGAGATGGTCGATATTATCGTTTTTTGTGTACATTCATCTGAACCTAACTTAAAAAACTCATCTTAGTCATATCCAAAAAAGTTTATCCAAATTGTATTTAATTCAAATCCAAAACAAACTTAAAAATTTGATCAAATATTCATATGACTCATGACAAGTTCCATCAAATTACCCACCAATCTGACCCATTCTACGGTATGCGTCGATAGTGTTTTCATACTCAAGGTATGCGGTACCCTGAATTTCACTCGGGGTACTGTAGAAGTCACCATATATATATATATATATATATATATATATATATGGTTCAGGCTAGCGTACGCCCGGGCGTACCTTAGTCTACCGTACGCCCGTTGAGTTTTGCTATTTAGATAATGAATTAACCGGAGTTTTTTGCATGATACTATACCCTAACCTCTAATGGATAAACCCCAGTCCCTAATTCACTAATCCAAAGCATAATATTCATTTAATCTTGAAATGAAAATCAACGGTCTTGATTTGTCAAAATTATTGTTGATTTACTTTTTAAGATTAAATGAATCTCATAAGTTGGGTTAGAAAATTAGGGACTGGGGTTTATCTATTAGAGGTTAGGGTATAGTATCATGCCAAAAACTCCAGTTAATTCATGATCTTAATAGTAAAACTCAACGGGCGTACGGTAGACTAAGGTACGCCCGGGCGTACGCTAGCCTTTGCCATATATATATATATATATATATATATATATATATATATATAACTAAGCAGGAATCCATGCATCAGACTAGGGAAGGAAAGAATCATGCATGTGACAGTCGGTCGCTCTGCCTTGAGAAGTATCATATCTAGGTGGTTGGCCAACAATTGTTTATCCCAAACGCTTAATAAAATTCTCACTGTCTTAGTTGGAACCAGAAGAAGGCTAAGTTTCCTCTGACCATTGGGCTGTCAATTCGTCAACCATCCCCACATATCTAGATTCTCAAGTATACATTTTCTTAATTATATATATTTTTGGGAAATAGGAGAAGGTTAGTTGATTTCAAACAAACTATCACAGGCAGGCAGGAACCGGAAGATCATACAATTGACTTGTCTCATTCAAACTATATATTAACTCCAATTCCCCAACCAAATTCTCGGTTTCCAGGAACCCTCCTCGTATACTTGGGGACCAAAGAAACATATTTTTAGACCGCAATTATATTGATCGTATTTGTTGGGATCGTCAACAGGGTTTTCTGGCACTCGGTCCTGTCTTTCCCAACTCAGTCTATCATGGGTGTGCCGCATTTAGTTACGTGTTGTTTGATTACCATATTTTCAGCGGTTAGATGAACATCCAGTGGCGGAGCTACACTGAGGCTAGGGTGGGTCTCGGCCCTCCGGGATTGATCCGACTCCTACGATCTAAAGGATATTTATTCTAAATTTTATAAGTAGTACTTGTTTCGCAAATTTTGTTGTGTAATAGTTATATGGTCTAATGGTAGCAAAGGTTGACTTGTGTTTTAAAGCACACGAATTTGATCCATTTTGGCTATATACAGTTTGTTTAATTTATTTAGCCCCCGGTCTCGAAATCCTAGCTCCGCCTATGTGAACATAGCATTAGGGCTGCAAATGAGCCGAGCGGCTCGATGTTCGACTCGAGAAAAGCTCGTTCGAAACTCGATTCGTTAATAAACGAGCCGAACACGAGCTCAGCTTTGCTCAGCTCCTGAAGCTCGCGAGCTAGCTCGACTCGATGGCTTGTTGAGCTAAACTCGTGAGCTGGCTCGTTTAGAGCTCATGATATGTCTCAACATGTGGCTAGAGAGCCAACTCGATTACCGACTTATGGACGAATCAATCTATATCTTATGATTTTCATTCATATGTCTGTTAAATTATATATCTCACCATATATAAAGTTTAACACATTGAGTATGTGAGCAAATATATCTTAGTTTCTACTTTAAAAAGAAATTATGTATCATAGATTGCTTCGATACTATGAAATAACATGATTTTGAGTAGTTAAAATTTATTAACTAAATGATATATGATACCAACAAAGTAGAATATGAGATTAGCTAACAATATAAATCATTTGTATAATGATATACAAAATGAAGTACCAAATAATAGTCAAGATTTTAGTAAACAAGCTAGCTCAAACTCGACTCGGCTCGTTAATAAACGAGCTGAGCTCGAGCTCGACTCGGCTCGTTAATAAACGAGCTGAGCTCGAGCTCGACTCGTTTATTAACGAGCCGAGCTCAAGCTGGGGTAAAACTCGACTCGGCTGATTTGTAGCCCTACATAGCATGTGTTATTTATGAAAATGTTAATGTAGTAATTGAATGACTGAAAATCTATGGACAAGAATCAGAAGATGTAAGCAAAAAGGCCTATGCACACACTTGTAATAGTATTATATCCAAAAAAATTATTCCTGTTAGTTTATAAGTAATGGTTCTCAAAATGCAAATTAGAGGATTTTATGGAAAAGTTGATTGTGATACTTGGTTATGTTTAAAGGGGAAAAGGGAAGCAAAGGTGATTTGTATATGATTATATAATAAATTCCGAATGCGCTTCAATCAAGGTGATAACACTCAAAATAGTGTTATTTAGCTTCTATATTTTAGGTCTTTTCAGGTCATTTTATGGTCTCAATGGCTAATATATATTTTATCAAATGCATCCCGAATCTGTTCCTTGGAGTAATTTATGTCATTTTAGGATGTATTAAATGATACTTGCGTTTTAGACACAAAATGGGGGTCACAACTGTAGGAAAATGAGCAAAAAAAGGAGACCACGACTAAAGGAAAGAGATCACGGCAAAGAAGAGGAGTCACGAAGTCTAGCAAAAGATCACGGCATCTGGAATGGACAGAGAGTTACGATAGTCGACTCGCAACCTTAGTTGTTCAAACGCGCAAGAAAGATCGCTGCCTCGACTTATGGATCCCGACTGTGAAATCATGCTGCGAACTCCTGAGCCAACCAGAGCAAAAACGTTGCGCTTCAAGATCACGACCTCACACGCGAAGTTCACGCCGCGATCTCCTAGCTCTCAAGCGCGAACTTGTCCACCTTCCTGAAGTATATAAATAGGAGACTCCTCCCCCTTTACAAGAGAGCTAATAATACTTGGAAAATTTCTGGTTTTAGCAAGAGTTTCGAGAGAGAAGCTGAAGGAATGAGAAGAAGAGAAGGATAAGAAGAAGGATGAGCCAAGAAGGAAGGAAATTCTCACCAATCACCCTCTAGTTTTCTTTCTCATTCTTCCATGAATATTATTCCCCCTTTAAGGGATAGTTACTCAAGGTACTAAAGGTTTAATCTCCAAATCCTAGATAGGTTTTATTATGTGGAAAGAATTGTTTTAGGGTTTGTTAATGAAATAAGTTACTTACTGTTTATATGCAGTTATCTGTGTGATTATACTTTGAACTTGTCTCTCTGTATGCTTTTCATGATTGCCTAGTTAGGGTTTGCAATGGTTGTGGATTTGAGCAGTTTGGTATGTTAGTGTAGATGAATGATCTCGGGGCCTAATTGGTGGTCAAGGTGACCATCACCTGCCAGTTGGGATGTCCACCTAGGTAATGCTAGGATGATATGTGTGTGACCATTGACGACATATCGAACTAGTTTGCATATAGGTGCAACCTATTGGAATGAAATAGATTGTATCCTAGTTCGTGAACCAGATGGAGGTGACATTGGGTCAGCAAATCGAATTAGGAGTGAGGCTAGGTTCATGACCATTAAGCTAGTCCTCACATTAATGATTCTCACAATTTTTTTCCCACAACCCGACAGAGTTATCCTTTTGGATGATAGGCCAAGTATCTAGAGACTAGAGCGAGAGTGATGCCCCGAGTACCTACTTTTCATCTATGCTTTCATAGCCAGTTATTTTCATTTGTCCTCCCTCCAAACAAACCTAAACTTTATCGACTAGATTATTGTCTTCACTTTCCTTCTCTAGCTCTCTTAGTACTCTTGAAATAGTTCGTAAACACTATAGTTGTCAATCCCTCAAAGTTTGTGGCTAGCGCCATTGCTAGGAGGTGTTCTAATCAAAGTCCATATGGATATTAATAGAGGAGGAGACTCAAACTATTGTGAATGAGTACACTTGATCCTACAACTCTTCCTTTTGCGTCATTCTAAAAATAAAATTTTATACTTCAATTCTTATGCCTTGCCTTAGATATTAATAGAGGAGGAGACTCAAACTATTGTGAATGAGTACTCTTGATCCTATAACTCTTCTTTTTTTGCATCATTCTAAAAATAAAATTTTATACTTCAATTCTTATGCCTTGCCTTGGTTATGTTTTTGTTGTGTGAACTCAAAATCCAACAGCTCTTACCTGTTTTTTGGTAAGTGCGAATTAAGAAGATTATACTTGTTATGTGGATTGATTCTCATACATAATCTTAT